TGTGTGTGGCATAGCTGCTGCTCTTTTGCAAAGGAGAACGACTGAACCAAGGAAAAGAGGGCGACCATCAGGCAGCCCAGTAGAAGGCCTACCAAAGAGAGTTGAAAAAGCACCTCGTCCTATTGCTGATGTACGTTATGATGATGTGGGTCACTGGCACGAAGATTCACGTGACAAAGCAAGATGCAAACTGTGTATCCGAAGTTACAGCAGAATAAAGGGTGGAAAATGTAATGTTTCATTCTGTTTGAACAAGAAGAACTGCATCAAAGCTTTCCACTTATAATGACTTCAGATGCACTGTTAATCAACAAAATTAATAAGCACTGTTTACTTAGCGGTCTCTGCATCGCAGTCCAATTAGAATCATTTCATAATTACTAGAATTCAATAAATTATTCACAAAAAACTGTAGACTCTTGTTTACTTACATTTCAATACTTGATACATTAAAGGGAAAAATTTCCTTTACACAAAATAATTCAGGGCTGAAATGGTTAAATGCATGCACTGGGGAGCAAACAACCAACGCCATGTAAAAAAATTGAATTTTCTATCAGTACTATCCAACACGTAATGAATTCCATCAAACAATTTTCTCATCTGGATTCCAATGGTATCTCACCAGACGTCATAAAACTGGGAGGGCCTGACATGCCGTTACTATCTCTGAACATGTTTACCCCTTCGTTGGAAACAGGCTACTTTCCAGACCAGTGTAAGACATCGCTCATCTTCCCCGTCACAAGGCTAGCTCCAAACAAGAGATTAACTACTACCGACCAATCCATCACACTTCTGTATTAGCCAGATTATTAGAAAAACTGGTTAAGAATAGTGTGATGAAAGTCATCAGTTCACTGTAGCTAATCGACAGGTCCCAGCCTGGTTTCGTGGACAAACGATCGTGCATAACCTGCCAATTGCGTTAGCTAAACCAGGATAGGCAATCATACTTCTGTTCCTCAACATGGAAAAGGCATTCGATCGAGTGACCCACAAACGACTGCTAAAAAAGATTGCTTCCTTTGGAATTCAAGACGAACTCCTAGGCTGGGTATCGTCATACCCGAGTGGCCGTCCTCAGGTAGTTACCATAGCCGACCAACACTCTTCACCACGTCCAATCACCAGTGGTGTTATGCAAGGGAGTGTACTTGGTCCGTTACTGTTCCTGCCATAGGTTAATGACATCAGTGCGGTTAGCAGACATTGCATGCCTTTCCTATCTGCAGATGACATAAAGATAGTCTACAAATTCCGACGAGCTGAACTTTAAGATACACTGCTGCCCAAACAGGAAGACCCTCACTCCCTTGAGAAATGGTATGACAATTGGATGATGTAGTTCTCGGCGAAAATGCTAGCATCATGTATCGCGGCTGTTCGATACCCGAGGGATCAATTACACTCAACGACGAACACTTATGTGTACAGTAGCCTATCCGCGACCTCGGAATCAGGCATTATTGAAGTTTCAACTTTTCCGAACAAGTAGAATACCAGCTGGCTAGGACCAGAAAATCAATAGCTAATATATTACATAAGGTCCACATAACAACAGCCACAGTAGAACTGTTCAAAATCCTCACTCACATGTTGGAATACTGCAGTACCAAGCGGTGCTACAAAGTTTAAAAAATCTTATATTATGATCAGAAGTCAGGATAAGCGAACATATATTCTCGATACTTCATCTTCAGGTTTATACAATTATATGCAAATCAAAAGGTGCAGACAGACATTACAAGTCGTTACTCCTAGAGCGCCTTAATTGGATGCTAACAGTGCTGTCTGCTAAGTCACAACAACCGATCGCGTGTGACCTCGTGGGTCAGAGACCACCGGCCGTTTGGGCTACGGTAGTCCCAAGCCTTTAGCTAGCTTCTTCTGAACACATAGCTCCGGTGCATACAGCCGGATCGTAATTGCTTCAGCGGCTTCTAGTACTCGCTTGCGAACGTAGTTCGAGCGGTTCTTTGGGGCCTGACAGATAATTTTGAACGAATCAGTGAACTTTGTGGCGTGCTCTGTATCGGCTAGATGCGCGGCTATTGAAGAATTGGCAGTTTTTCCGCTTCCAAGTCTAAGCCCGATCGGGTGGTGGTGTTCTTTCATTCTCTCAGATAGACACCTTGTCGTACGAGCAATGTATTCCGCTCCACAGTAACACGAAAAGGAGTAGATACACACTGAGCTGATGTGAACAAGCCTCTTATCCTATGAGTTTAGTCTCTGCAATGGCTGCGCATCTAGCCGATACAGAGCACGCCACAAAGTTCACTGATTCGTTCAAAATTATCTATCAGGCCCCAAAGAACCGCTCGAACTACGTTCGCAAGCGAGTACTAGAAGCCGCTGAAGCAATTACGATCCGGCTGTATGCACCGGAGCTATGTGTTCAGAAGAAGCTAGCTAAAGGCTTGGGACTACCGTAGCCCAAACGGCCGGTGGTCTCTGACCCACGAGGTCACACGCGATCGGTTGTCGTGACTTAGCAGACAGCACTGTTAGCATCCAATTAAGGCGCTCTAGGAGTAACGACTTGTAATGTCTGTCTGCACCTTTTGATTTGCATATAATTGTATAAGCCTGAAGATGAAGTATCGAAAATATATGTTCGCTTATCCTGACTTCTGATCATACTGAAGTATCATTTGTGGCAGCTTGAGGAAATCTGACAGAGTATCTATGGAAAGTATACAGAAGTTATTTACCAAACGTCTGCTAGGCAATACATCCACTATGAAGTATCGGGAGCTCTGCCAACAATTCCAGATCGAGCTGATTTGGCTACGAAGATTGAGACATAACCGGATGCTTCTGTACAACCTGATTCATCAAAACGCTCACTGCTATTTGACCTCCCTAGAACTAAATAGTTCGATAAGGGAGATACGCAATAAGGAGTTTACCCTGAGTGTACTTAGGTGTAGGGTAAATCTGCGGTCCAACTTTTCCTTATCAGATATGATGTCCAATGGAATAAGCTCCCAGTCACAATCAGATCGTGTGAGAGCGCAAGGACCCTACGCGTTAAGCTCACCAATTACCTAGACTTGAACACGATTATGACCTTGTTCTCTTGGGAGAGATCACTTGATGATTTGTACCAAGAAGCACCAACGAATATCTGATAAGTAAAACAAAAAATTTCACACTCTGACACCCTTACTGCTGTTACCATCCGCTATTTCAACTAATGCTCAATGCGTTGAAACATATCGGTGAGTAAATACAATTGAAACAGTAAAAACAATGAAAATCACACAACTGTTTACCATTCATGTATGACCATGACGAATTCCGTAGAATATGATCTGTGCCGAAATTGGTCACAGTTTCTCACTCGATGAGAAATATACCTATTATTATTATTATATTTATAAATGCTATCTGCCCCTGCGGCCATTTGCAATTACAAGGATCTGATCTCACGTTCGACTTCTGCGCGTAAGGGCGGATCCAAGGAGACCGCCTAGGTAGAATGGCACTCAATGACCGAAAAAGAAAACGAGAACACAGCTTGATTAAACTGTCTTGCAAAGTGTTCGGCCAAACGCTCCTAGCGTTTTGACAGGCTATGGATAGGCTATCCACTCTCGTCGCACATCAGGTTTCTTGTCACTTGTTTCCCGTATCAGACGGAATAACTTACGATGGTTGCCAACGGCAGCGGCTGTTTCCATTTCCGATGCACGATGAGACCACCAGGCTTCACAGACTCTCATCAGGCTAGCACGCAGTTTTGCTCTGAGATTTTTGCCAGTCCCATTATATTCGCTTCCAGCCGGAGTACGTCGGCGAGCATCCATAAGCTCCAAAAACCGCGTAGAGATCCAATGTCCAGGTTGGCAATTTGATTTGCTACATGAAGACATGCCTGCTCATAGAAACGTTTGACGAATATGCAAACCAGTGATCTTCGACGGTGTTCAGTGGGGACTTACTCATTTCTGATGCCAGTGTACTTTGATACGCATTTAGTAGACTGCTTCGCCAGTTGGCTAGTGAATATACGGTCACAGCGACGTTGCGGATATCCGCCGGAACGCACCCGAAGATCGGCACACACAAAAGCGTGATCAGAGTCTACGCTCGTGTTCCAAATTGAGCTACCATTTTGGATGCAGCCTTTCCAGCGGTAACTGATCGCGATATGATCGATTTGCATAAATGGCTGGTCCGAGGCTGGCGGGCACCAAGTCACATTTTGGTAGGTGTTGCATCAAAAGTTGATGCCCGCGAGAAAGATACCAGCATCTTCCCACAGGTGTAGCAACCGCTCACCGGTATCATTACGGGATACTACACCATGTTGGCCGCTCAGATGGATTTTATCAGAGGACGATATGCCGACTCGGACGTTTATATCACCAGCAAGCAACCCCAGTATCCGTGATTCTTCTGTAATGAAGGAGATCGTTAAGTTGGTAATAGAAATCATCTTTTACCGAATCAGGGCTGCAGTTTGTGGGGGCGTAAGCCACAATGACAAACAGGCACCGTTTGTCCCCGCGCGACTTCGAAGCCTGGAACGATCCAGTCAACCTAACGCCGCACATCCGGTTGTTGACAGGGATCCAATCGATCAGGGCAGTTACAGCCCGGGTATTTAAAACAACAGCTTGACCGGCTTTTGAAGCTGCGTCATCGCTAGCTAGGCACTTTGGCATCAATGAGATATGGTGAGATTTCCTTGTAACCAGCAAGTGTGTTAATCGGCATACGTTCAATGGTATGCCTACTCACGTACTAGTCTAGTGAGAAATTACCCGAGGGAAATAATTCATCCACATATAATTTAAGTTTTTACCATCCAATGGAAATACATAAAGCGATGAACGCAGCAAAGAGTATGGCTCCGGAGGAGAGCGAAAGTGCAATCCAAATGGAGTGTTTGGCTTCAAGTTGCTCAACATTAATGAAAACTCGAGAGTTCATCAGTACACGAGGTATGCTAACAATGATAAGAACAAACGGGATGAAAAGCCGCTTACCATTTGATGAGTGGAAGCAGTTTGTAACGGTTGTGTACAAACACTTCGCGTCTATTCGTGCGAACGCTATTGACAATAGCGCGAGCACAATATTCAGCATCAACGATGTCGAACAGCCAAGGTAGCCTGCAAGCAGTTGTAAAAGGTAATTCGAGGTACAACAGTCAGTATCATGAATTACGAGAACAACATAACGACGAACAGTGATCTGATCGAGTCGTAGCCAGTCTTTGCAGCTAGAGGCCCAGAAATCACGTGCAGGGAAACAAACTAGCATATGTTAGTTTATCGAAAAACGAACTGAGCGGTTTATAAAGAAAAAAATAAAAAATGCAGTATAAATGAAAATATGACAGTTCAGAGAAAAAATGTCACAAAAATGACAGCAGCCTCAAATGTGAGCAGTGAAAAATAATGCTCAACCGCTGAGCTGATAAATCCACTGAGTACGAAGCAAGGGAAGATCAATGGCACAACTAACAGGCCATGACCGCATTGGTTGCTGCAGCTGCGGATGTTGCTGTGATTGTTAACTTACTGTTTCTTTGCCAATCCACTCCCACCACGATCTCAGACTTCATGGATAATAAGATACTTAGCATTGTATCCCTAATTTCATGTTAGTTTTTATATTCTGTGATGGTTAGTAGGTCGCCTTTTCATGTCTTAGCTTTTTATATTGCTGCGCAATAACTGTATTGTGTTTCTCACCTTCAGCTAGCAATAACTGATGATGACGTCACGGACCGAAAACACAAACAGACCATGCGTAGTCTACTTCGAACCAAACCACTGCTCCACTCACACCTGGTACAAACCCGAAGTAGGAAGACCGGGAGAAATAGGACAAGGCAGCACACCTGTTCAAATTGCACTGTGCCAACCGATAGGCAAACTTTTGTGATAGTATCTCAGTGTTTAGTAGAACACAACAAAGGGATTGGATGCGAAACAAACAATGATCGGATGTTTACATTCTGTGGGTAGATGATTTGAGCAGTATCGGCGTCTCCAAGCAGCAATGACATGCAGCTGTGGAGCAGCGGATGAACCGTGACCGATTTCGTGATGGTAACATTTGTTGAATCAAACATGTTCACAAACACCGCCAAGTTCACTCACTCCAAGAATAAGCGCTTTCGACTAAATAATCAAGGTGAAACAGTCGCGCCAGTAGGTAGGTTGTATCATTTGCTGTCATGTCGGGGTACCAGGCAGGGAGAAACAGCAAGCGCAGTGCCGTGTATTCCACCGAGAATCAACAGTCTGAACAGCTATCAAAAAGTACGAACAGTGACATCATCTATAAAGTGCACAAATTTCAATCGCTACTCCATTGCCACTGCTTTTCACTAGGTGGTTCTGTTCGAATTCATAGGTGCTGTTCGTTCACTGCGTCCGAGTCATTTCATACCTGCTGGATCTGGAACCAAGTTAAGCTTCGTTCATACTAAGTTGCATCAACTCCGTGTTGTCCACCAGGCCCATACAATTGAGGAGAGTGTGCGTGGATGGTAGTTGGCTAACTTGTCGTCTGTTAGTCCCGTTTCAATTCCATTCGACCGATTGGTCCGCAACCATCACATTCATTTAGTGTTTCTAGCAGACAAGAGCAATACTTCACATGTGTCTATGGCTCTCAGCTTGCAGCAACCCAATATGTGAAGGACACAAAACATTTGCTGCACCACAGCGTTGTGAACATTTTCATTGGCCAACAGGCCTACATTCACTGTCCTATTTTCCCTAGTGAGAGACTTTGAAAAACCGCACGAATCTAGGTAATACGTGCAGTAACGTCCACGGCTGTGCGACCGTCAAGGGGTGATGCAACTAGCACGATAAGCAAACCGTTCGGTGACCCCGAGCGGTCGTTACGTGCATGTGAAAACATGCCATTATGCTAACCCGACTCTAACATAGTGATTCGCACTGAGATGCAGAATTACGGGCGTGGCAACTGGACCCGATGCTAAGAGAGCCATATCGTCCGCATACTCTAGGTTTGACAGCAGGCTATGGAACTGCCGAAGTAGTGTGAAGAGGCAAGAGGAAGCTATACACGATCATTTCGACCATAAAGTTGAAGAAGAAGAAGAAGAAGGGAGGGATATAGTAGTCATGAGATGCTCCACTTGCCATGGTGCACGTAGATTTTCCCATGGGCCCTAACGCGGTTACCTTAGCCGTGGTGTATAAAATGTAGTATAAAGGAGAATTTCCCAGGTAAAGCCATGAAAGATAGACGCTATACAAATAGGTGCGATCAACGGGACCAAATGCAGGTCCCGAACCAAGACTGCAATGACAAGGTCTATGCAGGAATGGCGAAGTCCAGGCAAATTGCCGAGAGTAAAAATATCATCAATGCGCGTTAAGATCACAAAAGAAGCAAACTAGGGAGACAGTAAGTGCCGTGTCATAGCAAAGTAGTGAAATAAGTAGGGACTAGTTAGTCCTTAGAGCACAAAGGAGTTTCATAGAACCAAGATAGGGAGAGAAAACAGTGCTAACAAGTGGATGAGGAATATTGATAGTTAATTTGATAGATGTAGAGAAAACAAACGACCAATCATATAAATGGAGAAATATGTCATCGGTAAGAGCTAGATAATAACAATGGTTCATGGCAGAAGACAGGATGAACCGAGAGAAAAAGGATCAGTGACAAGGTGAAAAGGTATGCTGTTCCATATGACAAAGGTGGCGAGCATGTGTGGTACCTATATGATGACCACAACTGTGCTATATCTCAGTTAGCTTGACCAGCTGCCGCCCCCCATGGCTCAGCGGCTTAAGCTGTTGGCTAGTTGGCATCTGCCTCTAGCGGTCATGGGTTCGATCCCCAGTAGGGGACCGAAGGAATGCGCACCACTGACGAGCCCCAATAGGGTGAAACGCGTCTGGTGCTTTTCCGGATCGTGGCTGAGCTATGTAGCATGTGAGCTGCCATGATGAAAACATTAAAAACTCCACATTCGTTTGCAACCTGGTGCAACTAAGTGGTTGGTTGGGTGTTGCTTGGTATCCAAAGTTCCAAAAACGAAACTGTTGTGGATACGACATCAGAGCCAGACCAGGAGCCAGGAGCCATACCAGGTGATGTAACTCGTACGTATCTCTTGAATGTGATAAGAGTCACTTATTACCAGAGAAGCATACAGCATCTAGATCGACATATGAAAACCTACGCAATATGTAACGGTTAGTATGGCGAAGAAGCAAAAGTAGATGATTACCATCGAAAGTCAAGGGCGCCGCATAAAGAGGAATGACAAAACCGCCAGACCAGCTTAGTGTGTGCAGGATAACCACTTGATATACCCTGATACCAGGCGCTATCCATAGGTTTCGTATTTACCAATCAAGTGACTCGCATTGAAAGTGTTGCATCGCGTATATGGTGGTTTCAGATTGGTTAATTGGTGTATTCCGTTGTATCCAAACCTCATGGGGCTAGGTTCGTTCCAGTAAATAAATAATAACAGTGTGATAGAACAGCAAAAGCGTGTTCATAACCTGGAAGAGTGCTCAAACCCACAATTCAGTAATTCAAAAAGCGAGCCAATTTAAAGCAGAAACGTACCGTGGTTTACATCCGGCGAACATGCGAGTATTGAGTAGAAAGGGGAACACGCGAGTCACATATATTTGATTATGCAAACCCTTTTCCGACAGCTCCAGTTCCAAAGACTCTGACAGCATTAGGGCCGCGGATTTCGTAGCACAATAATCAGATAACCCGACACATGGGATGAAACTGGCCACTGACAAAACAGCAACTATGTGCCCGCTGGGGGCGATTCTCGCTTCATCTCCAGAATAGTTTAACAAGTTCGGTTTGTTATCGCCAATCATGGAGGGGAGGAAAGCTTGGATGGTCTACAGGTGACAAAACAGTGAGCGAGTTAGACGAGATAACCACTCATCTCTATTTTGTTAAGTTGGTGCAAAACCCTATTTGATAGGTGGGTGACTGAGCAGATAATGCAAAACAGCTGTCCGATGAGTACGCATCGCAAATATAAAAGCGGCGGTCCATGGGAAAATGTTTCTATCCCGAGGTCGAACGACTGCTTTAAACCATTCCAAGTTAAATGATTACTAGAAGACAGGCAGAACCGATCGTTAAAGACAAGATGGACAACAATGTACAGAACAAGATTTCAGACACGTTAGTTATTAGAGACCAAGACATAGAACAATCAGTTTAAACGAAGGCGGACTGGATGCGAATGCAAAACGAGTCAAAGATAAGGCCACACACTGTTCAGTCATGTTTAGTGGCTTGGAGGGTCATTGGTGATAGTAAATCATAAAATAACGAAAACAACGGGATGCACAGTTTCATATCAACTGGTTTTCCAGTTAGTGGAATGCAACGTTCTAGATGCTGGAGATGAACACGTGCCGACGAGTTACAGTGAATAAATGTGGTGAAATTGGGACATAAGCGTTGCACAAGGAGGCCACCGGAGATTCACCCCAACTCGCGATTAAACGCTATTCCGATCAGTAATAAAATGTGACTCACATAAAAATGTGATAAAACGTTGACCTTGAAAGTGTCTTCGATATCCTCTGGTGTCAAATCCAAAATCGGACGCGCGCTCAAAACACCAGCATTGTTGACCAGAATAGTAACGCGACCAACCTCCTGCAGGACTCTCTTGGCCGTGTTCATTATGTCTTCCCTGGAGCTAAATAAAAGAAGTGAAGTGATTCCGAGGGCACGAATAGCTACCGAAGGTCACATACATACGCTCGAAGGAGACATCCACGCTCTTTTGCTACAAGGTTGACAGTATGTTCGAGATTTGCTAAGTCCACGTCCCAACCAACCAGATTGGGACAGTATTTCGCGAACTCCAGACACATCAGGCGGCCGATCCCATTCCCTGCACCTGAAGTGCATTAATAAAATAGTCCAGGGACTTGAGAAAAAACCTGTAACCAAAACAGTTTCGTTTGTAAGATCTTTTAAAGTTGGAAAAAGTAAAGCCCATAGGTTGGTCACCGCCTCCAGTAAGACCGACCAGCCGACTGTTAAAATAATAGTACAGAAATCTAAAATGGTCTCCAAAATCGCGTGAGCCATTGGTGTAAGCTGAAATGAAAGAAAAGTTGGAACCAGTTAGGAGCCGACAGAATAAGTTGGCATCAATCATCATCCCATGCGGACTCAGATCATACTCAGGCTGCCAACGGGCACTTTTGGTTCGGATCTACCCGTGATGTTGTAGATAAATAAATAATATATTCCTCGACGATGCGAGCTGTTCCCTAAAAGAAACAGATCAAATTATGGTACAACCTTTTCATGACGATGCATCACTACTTCGTCAAAAATAAACATGGACGCATTTTCAAAATAGGTAACACACAGTAATCAGAAGCGTTCTATATTTTCTTGCCATTGAATCAGGATTCTTCACAATCACATGACAGATGCTTGCGCCGAAAAAAATGAAATGAAATGTGCCGTGGTCCGAAATGTTACATGTATGTGTTTCGAAAACTTATTCAGGCACCGCCGATAACGTTTCCGAAAGCGTTATTTAGGGATTGTGATGCCCCGAGTATAGTAATCACGTTTTGGACGGTCAACTACTTACTAATCGCAAGCTTCAAATTGCAGTGTATAGCATGTCCTGATATCACTTGGAAGTTTGTTCCAAATGCTTGAGTAGTGGGTTGGAAAGAAATGTTCTCCGATTCTCATAGAAAATTTTGAAGTCATGAACTTACACACTTTGTTACGGATTGGATATCTGCTATTTGAAGAGATGTGAACGCCGTCATCCAGATTGCCAACTGCAGGATTTATGAACCTGTAAAGAAAATATAAGTTCAGTTTCATTCGCCGAAGGCAAATCCAAGTTCATCACATCGCTTTGTATGTCAATTTTGAGGAATATCCACATAACTATTTCGTGAAGCGCCTCTGGATCCTGTCAAGAGCATGCTGGTCAGAGTTCCGCAGATTAGACGGGACCACTGAAAAGTATTCCATACACGAAAACACATATGTTTTGCAAAAAGATATGCGAGACTCCGTGAGGTAAAAATGATAGCAAATATAACAGATGTACTTTATGGATATAAAAACTTGAAAGGCACAATATATAGAAAAGTTAAAAGCGATGAATATCGCACGCAAAAGTAGCGAGATACATGCGCCGGCTTGTGGTCCCTGCAACCCTTATTTCTCTGGTGGTTACATGTGCGCAAGAAGGTCATCCAGGGACTGTGCGAACAAAAGCTCGGATACGACAATACTATTGGTGGCCGAAGTTGAATTCCATCATCAAGGCGGTTATACGGGAATGTTACGCTTGCCAACAATCTGATAAGAGTGCGAGACCCCTGAATGCTCCAATCCAACCCATCGTGTACCCAATGAAGCCATGCGCAAAAATCGACATCGATATTATGGGCCCGTTCGCAAATGCACCCCCGTAGAAGCGAAACGTGCTAGTGGCTACATGTTTCTACAGCAAATGACCAGAGGCTATTCTATGCGGGGACGTAACTACAGCCGTCATCATAAAGTGGATCCGTTGTTTGTTTGCAATGTACGGTTTGCCAGAAGAAACAGTCACTGATAACGGTCCACAGCTTCGAAGTAACGAGTATGCTGAATTCCTAAGGCGCAATGGTATCAGACACACGAAGACTGTACCTTATAATCCTGCAACGAATGGACTCGTCGAACGACTTAATCGTACTTTGAAAGATTCGTTACAAGTCCTTCGGCTTTCGGGAGAATCCTGGGATGATGCGATGGTATCTGCATTGGAGGTATACAGAACCACCCCACATAGCGCAACGGCAACGACCCCCGCGGAGCTAATGCTGGGGAGAACAATTCGAACTCGATTAAATGCAGCCTTTACATCCGAAGAAACCGCCGATCATGGAGAATACAAAAGACGGGCTGTTCACCAGGTTTAATATAGACGCGTTGGGAGAACGTATCTTCCAGGGACATTTGTTTGTGTGAGACTACCCTATTCCCAGAAAGGATGTAATGTGTTCGGACCCCCCGAACCGTGTGGAACTTGTGTGCATGCCAGTAACTTACAAGTTGGCTGATGGGACAAAGGTGAATGTAAGACGGCTGCACATAGCGCTTTCCCAAGGTGTTATTGAACAGACAAACACAGCTACAACACAGCGCTCGGTAAAAACTAATACAAACTTACGACGTTCCGGTCGGATACGCTTTAACGGATAACACCACATGACAATTCTTCGGGGGTGCTGACATTAAACTAGATCGTTCATGGACATGTAGTGCTTACATTATTACGAATAGATGAGGGAACAATGTCGTGTTCAAATACTTTTGATTTGTGTTTGCCCTGGATTCGTATATCCTACTCACATTGCTATTTACCACTCGTTGGCCAATCATGTGGGCCTGCATTTGATTGGTTGCAAATCGAACCTCCATCGATTTAATTGTACTGTGCGTGTGTGCGGACGGTTTCCTCTATACATACGTTCCGGTGTTGCTCTGGTCCGCTGCTTTTTCGGGATACGATAAATTGGCGTCGCGTGTTACCGATGTCTTTGCATGCTACTGCCCCTTCACCGTTCTGGACTAACTCTGCGGTTACCTCAAAATACTGGGAAGACTGGAAAATTAGTTTTTCAGATTATATTTCTGTGCTACCAGTTCTCAATCCATCCGTGACGCTGAAAACGGAGGATACTTTGAAGATTTTCCCTTTGCACCTCGGCTCAGAGGATCGACCTGGATTTGATGCTCTAAACCTGCGGGATAAACCCACGTTGACAGAGGCCTTATCGGCCTTCTATAAACATTGGGGTGTTCCAGTGAACACCTATACTTCTCGGCACAATTTTGCGCAGCTGAAACAAGCACCTGGTGAATCAGCGGATGCATTCATTTCCCGCCTTGTTTGTTCTGTTCAAAAGTGTGACTACAATAGTATTCCCAAGAAAAATGTGGAAGAAACTATGCTAACACAACAACTGATTTCAGGTCTCACGGATTCTCGAATCAGAGAGTCTCTTAATGGAGAACGCAGAAAAGCTCACATGGGACAGGGCCTGTGACGTGGCTCGCGCGAAGACCGCAGTCACGGAACAAAACAAAATTTTCCTCTCTAACACAGGAGCTACTGACCGTTTGGATTCTACACGCTCTCTGACGCGATCCTCAGTTAGAAATAAGTGTTACCGTTGTGGAAATACTGAACAGCGTGCAAATGATAAGTCATGTCCTGCAAAGAGTGAAATCTGCCGGAATTGCGGTAAGATCGGTGATGTTGCTCAGGTTTGTCGTTCCCGCGCTAGTTCTTTAGTTGATTCTGCAAATGACTCTAGAGCTTCTCCGGCCACCACTGAACAATCCAGATATGGCGTTAATGAATGCGAACATCCACTTTCGTCTCCAAATTAAGAACCCAAACTGCCTTCGCCAGATATTCATCGTGTGTTTTTTGAAGTTAGAAACAATACCATTTAAAACAGTTAGTCCCCTTCAGTAGTTTGAACAACGAAATGATGAGAAGACGAATATTGGCAGATGCTAGCATTTCGTATTATCTCATCAGCACCAATACAATAACAGGGAAATCCTTTTATATGTCTTACAGGGCACAGTCAAGCCAATCAAATTTATGGTTGTGGTCCTTGTTGATGGGATTAGGTCCACGGCAACCGCAAGTTGACAACTAATTGCTTTTGGACACACAAAGCTGGTCTAATTCGGCTTATCGCGACGGCGTCGGCAAATCGTAAAAGGCGTGCATTGGTATGACGTAACAAGATCCGGAACGCTGATAAGGGATTAACCCGGTGACGAGTCGCCAAGATGTGCCTGCCTATGGAGGATGCTGGCGGCTTACGTGAGCACGTATCATCGGAGGTGGATTGAGTAACTTCGCGCTGAACCCAGTTTGGTAAGTGTTCCTTCACTCTGGAATCTAAAACCACTTATGGAGAATGGCTATCAAAAGCGATTCATAGACAAACATAGCCAAGTTAGACCGCCCAAGGAGATGGTGTTGACAGCCCCTAAGAAGAAGGTGTACGTTGAGCTATCATTCAAGGGTGACACCGCAGCGAGAAGGATAACCAAACGCATTGTCTCGACCATTCAGCGTACATACTGTGCTGCGGAGGCGGTGATAATCAACAGAACCCGAAAGATGCCGTTACCTTCAGTAAAGGAAGATGAACCCGTCGGCGCCAAATCACATTGTGTCTACCAATTCGTGTGTGACTGCGGAATCAGTTACATCGGCAGGACCGAACGGGTTTTACATTCCAGAGTGAAGGAACACTTACCAAACTGGGTTCGGCGCGAAGTTACTCAATCCACCTCCGATGATACGTGCTCACGTAAGCCGCCAGCGTCCTCCATAGGCAGGCACATCTTCGCGACTCGTCACCGGGTTAATCCCTTATCAGCGTTCCGGATCTTGTTACGTCATACCAATGCACGCCTTTTACGATTTGCCGACGCCGTCGCGATAAGCCGAATTAGGCCAGCTTTGCGTGTCCAAAAGCAATAGTTGTCAACCTGCGGTTGCCGTGGACCTAATCCCATCAACAAGGACCACAACCATAAATTTGATTGGCTTGACTGTGCCCTGTAAGACATATAAAAGGATTTCCCTGTTATTGTATTGGTGCTGATGAGATAATACGAAATGCTAGCATCTGCCAATATTCGTCTTCTCATTTCCTTGTTCACAATACCATTTGTCCAGACATGGAACTAGATCCCGCATCCCCAAGCACAGTTGTGCCATATTGTTTTTACAAACAGCATTTAGGCCAGCTAACTGTACATCCTTCTGCTTACACTTTCAGCAGCTACTCCAATGGTGATGTCCACATACTCGGTTTTGTCAACGTTTCAATGTTTCTTATAAACAGCAGGAAGCATATAGTTGAAGTTAACGTCTCTAAAACTGATAGAAGCCTCTATTGGGACGTAATGCCATGGTCTTATTGAACGTAGCACCATGCTTCAGCCGGATGAACATTGACAGCGTCAACTTTCATTCGTTATGTCCCAGTTACCCAAATCGCTTTCTTTCGGATATTGGTAGAGTCCCAAAAGCAATGCACCGCATTCGGTTGAGCGCGGATTACAAACCATTCAGCATTCACAACCTAGGCCTGTACCTCTGACCAAGCGAGAGGCGTTGTCGCCAGCTTTGAGAAAGATGGTCACGGAAGACTTGATAGAACCCATACAGTGTTCTTAATGGGTTCATCCATTAGTTGCCGCTCAAAAGAAAGATGGCTCTATTCGTCTATGCACTGACCTTCGAGCGCTTAATCGACATATAATTGTGGACAAGTTCCCTCTGTCGTCTCTCGATGAGTTGATGGTTAGACTTACAAACGCCAAACTTTTCTCAAAGCTGGACATTCGCAGTGCATACTACCACATGCCACTGACTCCAGATTGCCGACATTTGACTGCTTTCCTCCCGCAAGACGGTTTTTATCAATACAAAGTGCTACCAATGGGCCTTAATGGTACCCCAACAGCTTGCCAGTAATTTATTACTCTATCAGTACCAGATCTCAATGGATGTGTTGTGTATATGGATGATATTTGTGTCTTTGGTAATAACCCCACAGAACATCGGGAAAACCTTCATAACGTGATGCATGGACTGAATGAAATCTCCGCCTAAATACCAGCAAATGCCAATTCGTTGGAATGGAGGTCGAGTTTATTGGACATGTTTTTCTACCTCGGGTATTAAGCCTAATGTGCAGAACACCAGAGCCATTCTCGATTGTCCCAAACCACACAATGTTACACAGATGAAACATTTCTTGGGTTTGTGTGCTTATTACCTTCGACATTTACCGACTTTTGCGACCATTGCCGACCCCTTATGGAGGTTGACGCGCCAAAACCAGGAATTTCGTTGGGCTACTGAACAAGGCAATCCTTACATGACCATACGAGCGATGATTGAATGCACTCCAACGGTAGCG